TGAACATATTATACAAAAGTTATGCTAAAAACAAGTTTTCACCTTAATACACATGGGCCATGGCCTCAGTGGGTTTCATGTTTGGGGATAGCTTGGTCCGTATTTGGTGGCTAGCTTGGTCCGAGTCAAAGTAAACTTGGAATTATCAAATATGAAATATATTTTGAATGGGAGATCAAAAGTTCATATCCTGTAATTCATCGTATAACAAAAGGTAAATATAAATTCTAGCAAATTGCGTAGCAACGATTGTCAATAACAATTTATTATTACTATTATTATTATTATTATTATTATTATTTAATTTGTTTATCGTTTTTTAACAATAGATGCATTAATAGACACTATTTCTTTAACAACCAACTGAATTTTATTCCAACGCTTTTTCAATGAATCCACACAAATGTAAAATGCGCTTTCATATAATACGATCTATAATGATCATAGGTGGAAAGGAAGTAAACGAGAACCAAACTGAGGGATGAAGTTATGCACATTTGAAGCCACTTGGGACTTTCTTGCCACAAGCATTGAGAAGCAAGCTGAGGGAGACAGGCACATTAAGATTGATCCCCAAAACGTTAGCCTTAATAGCAGTGCATAGGCAAACGGCAGCATCAAGGTCAGCAAGGCCTCCGATAAGGGTGCAGCATGGCTTAACCGATGGGGAACCCACTTCGACTCCAACCAACCCACCAAGCAGATTAGCACACACCCCTAGTTTCAAGGTGTCTTTAGGGCAGGAAGCCTTACTTGGCTTTGGTTTTGGTTTGGGGGTAGGGCTACCACAAGTCCCACAACCACTCACCATGGTAAAAAAGAGAAGATTAAGTGCTAGAAAGAGGACCAGTGAAGCATTGCACTTCGAAGCCATCTACAATGAAAAAAACAAAGCCCTTTACAATCAGGAATAAGAGAGTGTAGTAGTTAAAAATGATGGGTGCATGTGGAATAAGGGATTGAAGGGTATATATAGTCGAAAGAGGGTTTTGGCCCAGTTCTAGCTGGCATCAAAAGGTACACATCAACATGCAAATATCCATGGCCCATGTTGTTCAATAATGAAGCTCTACATCTTATCTCTACCAGAGATCCAACTGTAGTGATGTTCCTTTGAAGAAAATGCTATATATGGTTATAGTATCATGTATATCTCCCGGGGTCAGTTCAACAGAATGTTTTACTTTTGGAACCCATGTTATAAATTTCTATTATAATGAAAGAATATTTATATTCTATCATATATACTAGAAATGTAAAATAAACAAGGTCGTCTATATGATTTCAGGTCGTTAAAAAACTTCATCTGATGTTCTTAATTATATATTTTATGTATGATTCGATCATGATGCATGTTCTTAATTGGTCAACAGCAAGACAATGAACAAAGTAAATTCATAATGTTAATTGTTATCGTGTTCACTGTATTTGTTGAAATTTCTAGAAATGTAGGAACTAGTCGATCAAAATCAATGTTGATTGCAACCACCTCCTCATCACAAAATCACCCAACTAGGGCTTTTTTCTCGACCTCTTGAAGTGCGCCCTCCCAAAATAAGGAAGGACTTGATTCGATTTTTCCCTTAAAACTCAATACGACTTCTCCTAAATTTGACTTCACTCTTCACGTTCTTCACGCTGAGTTCGTTTTCTCCGTTATTCCAATGATGGAGTCTGATTTCTGCCACAACGGAGTCCAATTTCATCTTGTTCTTCTTAATTTTGATTTAGAATTTGTGGATGATGATGCTTTTTGACACGTTTGTTTGGGATGTATGATTATTTGATTGGAATTTGTCACAGGGGCCACGAAGTTTCAATGGTGGAGCTCTTTGTATTCTCGTTCACTCGTCGATTTTGGAATCAATCGTCGAGTGCTGTGCGATCCATCATCACAACTCAGTGCTTAGTTATCGATTTATTTGGGTTCGTTTTAATATCTTTATTTTTTCTCTTTATTTCATTTCGTTGTTGATATGTTATCTCTTTTTCCCAATTGATGGAATATTCCCATTTGCTAGAGCTAGCAAATGAATGAGAGGATCCATACATGCGATTGGTGTATGCTAGTAAGAATCTATCTCTCACAAACAAAAACAATCATTTAAAATTTAATAATTTACTATTCTTTCCGTTCCAAAATTATTGTCCACCTTACTATTTTAGTTTGTCCCAAAATTATTGTCCACTACCAAAAGTAGATATACACTTTTACCATATTACCCCTAACATTTAATAAAGTAAACTTGAATAATTACAAACGCACATTTCTCATTGGTTTTAGAAAAGGGCAAGATGGTCATTTTATTCAAAAAGACAAAACTAATAATTGTTTTTCTTAATCTATGTGTTTTTTGTCTATGGACAATAATTTTGGGACGGAGAAAGTAATTTTTAGGTTTTTTTTATGTTTGTTTTTTGTTATAGCATCGTTGTTTATATCTCTATATTATGCTTTGCAACGAACCTGGAAGCCTTTCAATCCAACACTTGGTGAAACATATGAAATGGTTAATCATGAGGGAATTACATTCATTATAGATAGATTCAATTATACTTGGTAAACCTTACAATTATGTAGTTACATGTAATACCTTCTCATAGATTCAATTTTATAGCTTGCTTGGTTATGACAATCATTTGGGATTTGGCAGTGGCAGTGGCTTCAGCCTCTGTTCGACCTGGTTCTTCTAAGGTTTCTACTGGAGGACCAGGTGGTTTGGGTGGTGGAGCTTCAGGTGCCGCCAGTTGAGCCATTGTTAGCAGCTTCACAATAGCAACTGCATTAGGTGAGTAACTTGAGCTTCCTGTACATAATTCCCCTGTCTTCCTTAGAAGAAAACATAGAAAAACACTTGTACTTTAAAATTATATTTTAAAATTTTAACAAATCGCACTCCTTCACCCCAAATCCTATTTTGTCTTCAAGTCCAGACACAAAAGCACACATTCTGATTGTATCATCAAGGAACTCTGCAAATTATTGTAGAATAATTTTTCCATGAACCACTACATATCTTTCTATAATTATAGGGTTTGATGATATGTGAGTAGGGTTATTTTTGTCAAATTCTGAAAATCTTTTTATGACTTCAAAAAATGATAATTTTGGTGCACGAGTTTGTTCTTTTAGCAATGTGATAATAGCAATGGCAAGTCTTGCTGTCTTGAGAACTGTTTGATACCATGGAGCATATTGCTTTGATGGCTTTCCTAGTCTATACCTGAAAAAACAGAATAAAGCATTAGCATGTTATTTACAAAATGCCAATGCTCATTTATATGTTTTTTGTATCGTCTTACTTTCATTTATTTTATTTACAACATTACTTTTTCAATAATATTCTAATTACAACAATATACTTTAAAAAATCTATCCAATTTTATTTGTTTTTGGATGGCATTGCTACAGTTTAGTATATTTTTCAAGTACAATTATGTTACATTAATCAGGTGATATTTATATTTCTTCATTTTGCTTTTGTATCAGTTGTGCCATTATGGTTAGGTAAAAAGAGGTGTTGAGACGTCAAGAAAGCTTCGCTTATTTAAAGATCAGATATACAAGGCCGATCTACTATCTTATGCTATGTCTAGGTTGCAAAGAGGAATTAAGGAAATGGTTTCTTTTGATTATACATTTATTGTTTGAAATAGATTTTTTGTATGAAACATAAAGTAGATTAGATGAATGAATATTGGTCCATTTATTATATGAATTTTTTTTGTTATATAATCTATTTTATGTAAAGTGTTATGAGATAGTAATTGTCATTTAATTTGAAAACTAGTAAATCTATAAAACAAATATACTTTTTTTTAAAATATATATATTTTATAAAACATTTAAAATTACGACACAATGTATGTCGTAAATGTGCGTCATAAGGTTACGACACACAAATGTGTGTCATCTTCCTTTAGGACATGGGCTTCCTTGATACGCATTGTGTGTCATCTATGTGTATCGTAAATGCGCGTCGTAAGGTTACGACATGCAAATTCGTGTCGTCTTCCTTTATGACAGGGGCTTCCTGGACATGCATTTGCGTGTCATCTGTACCTTTTATGACACGCATTGCATGTCAATTAAGGCAATTTTCTAGGAGTGTTTGAATGCACACATGAACTACTCTTTTTAAGTTGTTAGTGAGTGTCTGAACTAATAATTTACATTTTGAATTATAAAACGAATTAGTATATTAAACTGTGAATCCGAGTTTTTTCAACATATGATCTTTGGAGCTTGCCAAAATGTAAGAATTCCAGATTTGATGGTGTTAAGAGGAAGAAAAACTATGAAACGTGTATTAAGTTGTGAATAAGTTGTGAATGTGTGTTTGTACTAGTATTTTAAACTGTGAATTATAAATGAATTAGTATATTGAATTTGTGAATTCTAATTTCTTTTATCCATATAAGATTATTGGAGCTTGCTAAATTGTAAGAATTCCAGAATTGATGGTGTTAGGAGGAAGCAAAACAATAAATAGACGGTATAATGTTGTGAATGTACTATGAATAAGTTTTGGATGTATAGTATTAATAGGAAATATACGTCTTCGTTTAATCATGAAAATGGTGTTTTTATGCCATTTTTCACTAAAAAAAAGAACGGGATTGTTCTGGTGAAAATTTGATAAACAAATTTCGTAACCAAATTAGTAAGCGTGGTGTGATGTTTAAAATAAAATGTACAAATTTGAAGTGTTTGAGATCTTGAAATGTACTAAAGATCTTGGTCGTGCCCAAGATCCCGGGAGAAAATAGTGATATTCACCGAACTATTTATTTAAATGATTTTTACTTTATGTTGAAAATGAGTGTATTTGAAATGTTTGGGATAAAAATAATTTTTAATTTGTTTAACAAATCAATTTGTATAATAAATTTCAAGATATCGCATAATATCTTCGCAGTTTTGAGAAAGGAATCATATTAACGGTCAAGTAAATAAGATAAAGTGTGATAATTGATCAAAAAGAAGCACGTATGTAAAAGTAACTGTAATAACAGATCGATGTACGATGAAAGCCTTTAATCCTTTCGGATCTCTAGCATAAAATGTAACGCCCGCAACTTTGGACTAGTCGATTAAAATCTAATGAACGACAAAACGACTTTTGATAAATAATCTTAACCAAAGTTATAGTATATGTAACAAGAATTTGTGCATATAAAGACTTTCAAATCCGACTTCGTTTGAAGAAGTTATGCTTCTTCTAAATTTCGCGATTAAACTGATACGACATCGAGTGTCGTAAATAGTAAATCGGAGATATATTTCTTATTTGCCTAAGTAGTCTAAACGAAAGTCTTAGTAATCATAAAACCGAGAGCCTGCATGTAGAGATCGCACAAATCTGACTTCGTAAGAGGAAGTTATGATATTTATAATATTTCAGTGCATCGGTCTGCAACACTGGTACCAAGTTTTAGATAGTCGATTATTAGGAAAAACAGTCTAAACGAGAATCGAATATCTCGTTGATAGGAACCCGAAAATATAAAGACAGTCGAGAACGGAAGCCGGACGAGAGAGTTATGAATTTTTAACGAACTTTAAAAGTCTAGGTCTGTTAAAAATATAACTTTAAAAATTAATTAAAAATTAGTCGATGGATTCTAAATGAAAGTTGTAGATCTCGTCGATAGCTATGTATGGATAGAAAACTCATCGAAAACAGAGCTTGTATGAAGAATATATGAATTTTTAAAGGTTTTATAAAAATATGCACGCAGTCGCACGCACAGACAACATGTGCGGCGCGCACCGACACTCCACCAGGTGCTCGACACCTGTCACCACCTAGAAGCTGCCATGTCACCTGGCCCGACCAATTGGGCGGCGCATACTGACCATGAAGGTTTGTA